ATCACATATATGGTATATAACATGTGAGCACCGTTATATATTACAGACTGTGATAGACAATTTGCTCCAGGGAAGTTAGAATGAACTTGTGACTTTGAAATTATGTAATCACTTAATCACAATCAAAAAAAAAAAAAAAAGAACCTCGGGGAAGGGAGGGAGGGAGGGAGGGGATGGTAGGGGGAAAACAATGGAGGGGGTAACAATGTTCAAGAGGAAGTGTACTCATTACCTCACTCATGTAACTGTAACCCTCTGTATAGTATCTTTACAATAAAAAAAAAAATATATGTGCTTTGGCTTTATAGAGTTCTTAAGGGAAATACATCTAGAGAGCAGAGGAATCACCCAGAGGGGTGTCCCAGCTCAGGCATGACCAGCAGCACCTCATTGGAAACACAAGAGGTTACCAGATGGAAGGCATCCCTGTCCACCTCAGTCTCTTAAAAGCGAGGAACCTCTGAGTCCAGCAACTCAGACCTGCAACATGACCAGCTGAGACCATAGCAGCTCTCTGGCATAAGAGAGAGGGGGGAGGGGGGAAGGAGAGGGAGAGGGAGAGGGAGAGGGAGAGGTATGGATGTAGGGCCCAGCAATGGAAAAAGCAGGAAGTCCAGTGTGGAGTTCCTACAGCAGTTCAGCCTTGAACAGGGGTGATCAGGAACTTATAGCCCTCCGAAAAAGAAAAGCCGGGGGAATTATGCCATTCCTGACTCAAAGTCCCTCCCGGGTTTTCAGCACTGTATGTTAGGTTTATTTATTTATTTTAATTTTTGGGTCCAGTTGTGGGGCCTGAACTCTGGGCCTGGGCGCTGTCCCTCAGCTCTTCAGCTCAAGGCTAGTGCTCTATCACTTGAGCCACAGCGCCACTTCCGGCTTTTTTTTTTTTCTGCTTATGTGGTGCTAAGGAATCAAACCCAGGGCCTCAGGCATGCAAAGCAAGCACTCTACCAATGAGCCACCTTCCCAGCCCTCCCAGGTCTCAGAAGCTACAACGTGGTCTTTAGGCAGAAAAAGAAAAGTTTATACTGAACTGCTGGCGCTGCACACACAAGAGATACACATAGAAAAGGCCAACACTTGCCAGGTTGGGGTTAAGTGGGAAAGGGTGGGGAGGTGTGGCCATGGCAGATGTAGATGTGACCTCAGTCTGGGAATCTCCCACGGGGCACAAGAGGCATAACCAGGGTGGTCCAGGGTGTGACCTCAGAGAAAGAGGAGGTAACTGCCCCCAGGTGTGCCAGTCACTTAGGTAACAAAATAGATGGGGTACATGGGAGGGAGAAAGAATATATGCAGAATAGGATGGAGAAAAATGGCTCTTTTCCTGGGCACACTTAACATTAATTACCAATAGAACAGACAAAAAAAGACATCAGGAACACACACATTGATAACATTGTCTTGACCTCACTGTTGTTCCTAAAGCATTGTGTGTTACATTTATCAAGACACACTGAAAGTGAAAATGAATCCCCAGGCAAAACTTAGTGGATATATTCCCTGACCAGGGTGGAAGTACAAATCAACAAGGAAAACCATAATTTGTAAGTATATTATAATTAAATAATATATTTTTAATAATCCACAATTCAAGAAACTTGCAGAGAAATTAGAATGGGTCTGGAACAAAATATATTGTAATACTAACATTTGTTGTTTATTCATGGTGGCCACAAACTCAATATCTCCACCATTGGGGTGAAAGCAAATTCCTCCTTGGAGGTGGGTTGGACTTACCAATTTACTTTGGAAAACCTATCACAGCCAGAAAAAAGTTAACAATTACAAGAGATGAAAGACAGTGCTTACTTTGAACAAAAAATTTCAAATAAAAATTATAATGAAATGCCTCCTTTATTCTCAGTAGTAGGGACACATTAAAAATAATCAAAAGTGCATGGTACAGAAACCAGACAAGTAAAAAATATATAATTAGGGCTGGGAAGTCGCATGCATGAGGCCCTGGGTTCCATTCCTCAGCATCACATAAGCAGAAAAAAGCCGGAAGTGGCGCTGTGGCTCAAGTGGTGGAGCACTAGCCTTGAGCTGAAGTGCTAAGGGATAGCACCCAGGCCCAGAGTTCAGGCCCCATGACCAACAAAAAATATATATATACATATATATTTATTATATGTTTATATTTATGTTTGTATTTATATTTATATATAATTAAAATATGTTTCATCAAAGGCATAATAACAACAGAATCCATGAAATTTCAGAAAATATTTGTTTATATGTCTTAATAGATTAATAAACAGAATTCACTTCAAAGATTATAAAATAAAATCCTGTAACAAAAACAATCAAAAACTGATTTTAAAATGGGCAGATGATGGGCTGGGAATGTGGCTTAGTGGTAGAGTGCTTGCCTCCCATACATGAAGCTCTGGATTTGATTCCTTAACCAGAAAAAGCCAGAAGTGGTGCTGTGGCTCAAGTTGTAGAGTGCTAGCATTGAGCAAAAGAAGCTCAGAAACAGTGCCCAAGCCCAGAATTCAAGCCCCAGGACTGGCAAAAACAACCAACCAAACAAATAAATAAAATGGGGCAGATGATGAAAGAGACTTTCCCACAAAGAATATAGACAAATGGTTAATTAATATATAAAAAGGTGTTCAGTATTAGTAGTAACAAAAAATTTCAAATAAAAATTATAATGAAATGCCTCCTTTATTCTCAGTAGTAGGGACACATTAAAAATAAACAAAAATATGAAAAGTATTGTTAAAAATGTGGAAAAGTATGAAGTTTGGTAGATTTCTGACAGGAATGCAAAATGCTCAAAGATGTTAAAAACAAACAAAACAAAATCCAAACAAACAAAAGAGCAGAACTAAATGAGCTGGGCACTGGTGGCTCATGCCTGTAATCCTAGCTACTCAGGAAACTGAGATCTGAGGATTAAGATTTCGAAGACAGCCCTGGCAGAAAACAAGTCCCCATGAGACCCTTATCTCACATTACTACTCAAAAATCAAAAGTGGCACTGTGGCACAAATGGTAGAGTGCTAGCCTTGAGCACAAAGAAGCTCAAGGATAGTGCGGGGGGGGGGGGGGGGGGGGGGGGGGGGGGGGGGGGGGGGGGAGGGGAGAGAAGGGAGAGAGGGGAGAGAGAGAGAGGGGGGGAGGGAGGAGAGAGAGGGGAGAGAGAGAGGGGGGAGGGAGGAAGGGAGAGAGAGAGAGAGAGAGAAAACTAATTTTGGTTCAGAAGTTGTAGCTTTGTATCTAACCAAAGAGAAAGCAGGGGTTTGAACAGGTACTGGGAGAATCATTTAATACCCACTAATCACAATAGTGAAAACATAGAAGAAAACCACATATCTACCAAGAGATAAATAGATTTTAAAGGAAATGTAATCCAAATGCTACAGCATTGATAAATAATGAATACAATAAGCTAAATAAAACAACTGAGTCAAAAATAAACAGCCATGATAGGCTGGGCACCAGTGCCTCACAACTATATTCCTGGCTACTCACTGGGCTGAGATCTGACTGCTGTGATTTGAAGGCAGCACAGTCAAGAGTGTCCCTGAGACACTTATCTCTAGTTAACTACCAAAAAAGACATAAATAGAGTTGTAGTTCAAGTGGTAGAGTGCTAGACTTGAGCAAAAGAAGCTCATGGATAGTGTTTAGTTACTGAGTTCAAGTGTTAGGACTGGTACACACTCACATTTCTCTTTCTATCCCACACACCCCCTCCACAAGAGCCGTGGTAGAATTTCCCTTACTGAGTTTCCCAGGGTCAACAAACACATAGGAACAAAAGGCAAAATGATGATTCCAAGAGACTGGATTAGAGAAAAATGAGAACTGCATATTTCATATAGGGAAGATGGAAAATAGTATAGATGGATGGAAGAGGAAGTTGTGCAACAATGTGAATATATGCAATATCAATAAACTGTACATTTAAATAATATTTAAGTAATAAACTGTGCAGTCCGAGGCATGGCACAGGTAATAAAACCTAGCCAATGAGAGGAAGTGTCAGATACTAAGCTCAAGTCCAAGTCTCAGACAATAATAATAACAATAATGGCTAATGTAGCCAAGCATGGTAACAAGCACCTAAAATCCAAGAATATGGGAGTATAAGGCAAGAATACAAGCCAGCCTAGGCTATTTATCAGGTTCAAGAAAAGTTTGGGCTACACAGCAATCCATTTTCAAACTAAGAAAGTAATGTGACAAATATTAGGTTATGTGAATTATATCAAAATATATGTGATATGTGTATCTATTTTCCTTACTGACTTTAAGTAATTAATGGAAATTAAAAAGAAAAAGGAAAAAAAAAAGCAATTTCAAAGAGTTTGAAAGAAGGGCATCAGTGGCTCACATCTGCAATCATGGCAAGTCAGGAGGCTGAGATATGAGAGTTACAGTTTGAATTCAGCCCGGGCAGAAATGTACATTAGACTCTTATCTCCGATTAACCAGCAAAAAGCTGAAAGTAAACCCATGGTTAAAGTGGGTTTAGGGACAGTGCCCAGCCCTGAGTTCAAGTGCTATTTTTGCCAGCAGAAAAAATCGAGAGAATTTGAAACACATGTCAAGTAAGATTTAGCTAAAAATACAATGATATAATACAAACTTCAAATAGAATTACTAATAAATACACAGGAAAGAGATGAAAATTAGTTTAATATATGACTAATGAGCATGAGATTTCAGACCAATGACCAGCAAATATTCACATTCCATAAAAAGTTAGCGTGCTGGCTTCTAAGTGTCAGTGGATAATTTAACAAGTGTAACTACTTTTTTTCACATTAGAAAAACCAGAGACAAATTCAAGATAAATTTGCACTCGACTTAGATTGACTCTTAAGATTTCGTAACCTGCTAAATCTATAAGCCATCTTTATCTTATTTATGAACATTTCTCTGAGGCTATATATATTTTTCACTTTTTCATTTTAACTCTTGGACCCCATTAAACTTTATAAAAAGTTTATAAAAAAAACAAAGAAGGAAATGAAACTCACCAAAGATCCATTCATTTTTTTGTTGCTGTTGGCAATGCAGAGAAGATTCTGAAGGCATAGCTGGAAGAGAAGGCAAATGAAATGGAGTCAGGAAAGAGCCAATGTGGCTTTGTCCTGGACTTTCCTGCTCAAGACACTATACATACATACATACATACATACATATATATATATTTTTTTGACGGTCTTGGCGCTTAAACTCTGGGCCTGGGTGCTGTCCCTCAGCTCTTCAGCTTAAGGTGAGCACTCTACCACTTGAGCCACAGTGCCACTTCCTTTTTCTGGTGGTTTATTGGAGATCAGAGTCTCAAGGACTTTCCTGCCTGGGCTGGCTTTGAACCCTATCCTCAGATCTCAGCCCCTTGAGTAGCTAGGATTACAGGTGTGAGCCACTGGAGCCAAGAAAACAAAAACAAAAGCAAAAAACCCTTTCTGTGAGAGAAGACCCTTTCATGTCTCAAGTAGACACATTATGTTCTCCCTTAATGATGCATTCAGGGCTGGGAATGTGACTCCGTGGTACAGTGCTTGGGTAGTACGCATGAAGCCCTGGCTTCGAGTCCTCAGTACCACATAAACACAAAAAGGCTGGTTTGTAGTGGTGCTGTGCCTGAAGTGGTAGACTGCTAGCCTTGAGCAAAAGAAGTTTAGGGACAGTGCCCTGAATTCAAGCCCCAAGACTGGCAATAAATAAATAAATAAAGATGTATCCACAGTACATTAATTGGTAGATATTATAAATGTAAATTCATTTCTAGGTGAGGGAATAACAAATGTTCGCTCAAAAATAATTGACTAAAACTAAGGAAAAACATATGATGTTTTTACCAAAATTAGTAATTACAGAAATACACAGGAAGCTGGGCGTTGGTGGCTCACGCTTGTAATCCTAGTTACTTATAGGAGGCTAAGATCTGAGGATTTCGGTTCAAAGCCAGCCCAGACAGGTATGTCTGTGATACTCTTATCTCCAATAAACCATTCAGAAAACCGGTGGCTTAAGTGATAGAACGCTCTCCTTGAGCTGAAGAGCTAAGGGATAGCTCCCAGGCTCAGAGTTCAAGCCCCACAACTGACGGGGGAAAAAAAGAAAGAAAAATATACAGGAATGTTTGAACAGTTTTCCTGTTAATGTAAAGATATGATAGAAGACTCCACTGAGTATTTCAATATACCTCCTGTTTTGCAATATTTAAGCATCATAGAAAGCATGTTTGTTACAGTTCAGTATTTTTCACTCAGAATTATAGAGGAAGAATGTATGGAATATATATTTCTGTGGTTTCCTGTTCCAATAATGGATCCCAGTTGGCACATCTTCCTCTACCCAGAATAGCCTGAAGCACTGATGTGGATTTCGCTATTTAATCAGCTTTGGCCAAAGGAACATCTGTGAACACGATGTGAAAAAATGTTTGAATATTCCTTAGTGCCTGCCTCCCTTAACACAATTACACTGTGAAGATCCTTGGCTTTTCTGCTGGATATACAGGGCTTAGTCAAGAATCAGGATAAATTATAGTCATAGGAATAATACCATTCTAAACCAACTATCACATGTGTAAAGCCTCATCTATTGAACAATACTAACAGAAATTCAATGACGAGCCCAGCTCCAAATGTAGCTCCATAAAACTTAAAACACATGAAATGGCTGCATGTTTTTGTACCATGTGTTAGTTGATTTACTACATAGGAAATGCTGGTACCAGCCACAGTTGTGTGGTTTTTAACAAAATTATTTAGGAGACAAACTTCTGGAATAAAATTCAGTGTACTTTTCAACCAAATGGAGGAATGATGTAAATCATCATGAAGGTCAATTATGGGGAATTCAATGAGGTTGCTGCTGCTAGTAAAGACTAAATAAATCGTTAAAAAGCAAAGTATGGGACTGGGAAGGTGGCTCAGTGGTAGAGTGCTTGCCTCACATGCATGAAGCCCTGGGTTTGATTCCTCAGTAGCATATACACTGAAAAGGCCAGAAGTGGGTGCTGTGGCTCAAGTGGTAGAGCACTAGCCTCAAACAGAAGAGTTAAGGGACAGCTTCCAGGCCCAGAGTTCAAGCTCTACAAAAAAGGCAATGTATGCATTTTAGTTTTAACTTTTTCTGCATCAAAATAAAGTTTATTTACTTTAGGAAAAATAAAATGAATTTGTTATAGGCTGAATATCTCAAATTATGGGAATAGGATTTTCATAGATTTCATGGGGGGAATTTTGTTGTTGTTGTTTTCAATGTGGAACAGCCCTAAAGCAAAAAAAAAAAAAAAATGAGTTTCATATTACAGAATTTCTGTTTAAGCCAGGCGCTGGTGGCTCATACCTGTAATCCTAGCTACTCAGGAGGTTGAGTTCCAAGGATCGCAGTTCAAAGCCATCTGGGGCAGGAAAGTCCATGAGACTCCTATCTCCAATTAGCCACCAGAAAACCAGAAATGGCACTGAGGCTCAAGTGGCAGAGCACTAGCCTTGAGCTGAAGAGCTCAGGGACAGCGTCCAGGCCCAGAGTTCAAGTCCCATGACCGACAAATAAATAAATAAATACATAAGCAAATAAAAATAATTTGTTTAAAAATGTAATCTCCATTTAAAAGAGTAAAACTGGTTTATACTAGAAGTCTATCCAGTCCTATTTTAAGTAATGTAGAGTAAGTTAATTATTGTACTACAGAATTTGTAATATTTCAAGAACATATTTAAAGAAGAAAATACTCATGTTAATAGTATTTTTTTAAGTCACAAAAGCCACAGGAAGTGCAGAGGATAAGAAAGACACTGAGCACATTTCAAGCAAAGTATTTTGAAGCAATGATTGTGCTGCAATGACCTCAATCAGGCCCTCCCCCCAAAAAATATTTCCAAAATGAAACAATACAACTTTTAGCAGATTGTAACTAGCTAAAACTTCAGGATACTTAACATCTACAAACCATACAGCCTCCAGCAATATACATCACCTTAAATTGTCATTTTTGTTTTAAAGCATAAGGTCCCTAGCAAGAATTTCCTGAATTGGTAGGTAAATCAGGTAAAAGCTAGTACCAAGCACATCTCTACATATAATGTTTAATAATAGGATAAGTTTGTGAGAGCCTGCATTCTAGAAATGATAGTGGGGTTGGAGTGAATGGATGTGACTGTGATTAAGGTACTTGTAGAGACAGATTCTTCCAGGTGTGACAAGGTATCTTTCCACTACAAACCATAGCCTGCTATCCCGTTTGATATAATTCAGCTCTGGCTTATGCCTCAGTCCAGTTCACCTCTCTTCTCTCAAAGTTGGAGAGAAAATTGTACCATGTGAATCTTGTGCTCTGGAAAGTCGAATCAATCATTGCTAGGGAAAAGGAGGATAACTAGATCTTTCCCTTCTAGTGCTTCTCTGCCTCTGCTCTTTAGGGCTAGTGAGAGTTCACAAGCGCAGTGTTCTTTCAGTAGGCACACTTTCAATCTGCCCCCCTTCAAATTGGCTATGATTACTTAATTCCAGGGGATACAAATCCATCAACCAGTTCTCTAATACCTTGTATAAAATTTTCTCTAGAAACGTGTACAAGCATGTGTGAACAGGAGCCAGGACATCGGCCAGGAGGGGAGTAGAAATGTTCCTACAAGAAACAACACAGAGCTGGGCGCTGGTGGCTCACGCCTGTAATCCTAGCTACTCAGGAGGCTGAGATCTGAGGATAGCGGTTCAAAGCCAGCCCTGGCAGGAAAGACCGTGAGACTCCTTTCTCCAATAAACCACCAGAAAACCGGAAGTGGCGCTGTAGCTCAAGTGGTAGAGCGCTCGCCTTGAGCTGAAGAGCTGAGGGACAGCGCCCAGGCCCAGAGTTCAAGCCCCACGGCCGACAAAAAAAAAAAAAGAAACAACACAGAACCCCACCAATACAATTGCCATATCACAAGACTCGGCCAGCACACCCTTCACGATCTCACTAGAATTGTGACTGCGTCCATCTTTCAGCTGGGAAAAGGCAACGATGACGTCACCGGTGTCCACAGCAGAATCAGGCGTGGAACAGAAGCGCAGGCCTCCCCAGCTCTCCTAGTCTGGACAACCTTCTAGCCTGCCCGCGAGCCTTCCCGAGCCAGCTAGGTTCCGGCACCTGGAAGGACACTGACTCTGGCAGAACCGACTCTTGACAAAGCAATCACGACCCCAGGCACAGTCACCCAGACCGGAGGGACCCGGCAGTGCGTGGAGCCTCCAGGCTACCCGCCCGGCTCCAGCTGCCGCCTGCAGCCCGTTTTCCTGCCTGCCTGCCATCCACTCACATTTCAGGTCCCCACGTTCGCCAGGCACGGCGGGACCTCTTGCCACCCCGCCTCCGGCGCTCAGAACACTCAACTCTACTTCAGAAACTTCCCAGGCGGGCAGAACCGGAATTCCTGAGCAGAAAACGCCGTGAGTGGGCGGGGAGGCGCCTGCATTGGAAGAGCCTGAAAGAGCCCTGCCAATGGGTCTGTGCCTTAGGGAAGACTACATTTCCCACTGTGCTTTGCGCCATACAGGAGGAAGTGGACTATAGGATTGTTATCCAGAGTAAGACCTCCTGTTCTTGGCCTGCTGTGGCAGGGTGGGGACTTAACTATCCCACCTGAGCCAGGTACTTCCTGGAAATTTATATAATAATGATAATAATAATAACAACAACAAAACAACAATAATATAAAACTGTAATGCCGGGCGCCGGTGGCTCAAGCCTGTCATCCTAGCTACTCAGGAGGCTGAGATCTGAGGATCACAGTTCAAAGCCAGCTCGGGCAGGAAAGTCCATGAGACTTTTATCTCCAATTAACCACCAGAAACCAAAAGTGTGCTGTGGCTGAAGTAGTAGAGCACTAGCCTTGAGCTGAAGAGCTGGAGGACAGCTCCCAGAGTTCAAACCCCACGACAGCCCAATAATAATAATAGTAATAATAATAAAAAAATTGTTAGCACCGGCCCGGAAAACCACGCGGACACACAGTCAAGTAAAAAGAAAAAAGCATTTATTATCAGCCAAAGCTGACAGGCTAACTCACACGGGATAGAGAGTAACAAGCTGCTCTCAGGGGAGGTAATTATATGATATCAAGAAGATTGCCAAGGGGCTAGGAGCAGGAAATCTTTGTAGTTGTTGGTGGACACTGGAGATATCAGATAGCCAGGTCAGGACATTCTACAACTGGCTTGTAGCTAGGGAAAACATACTATAGATGGCACTATATTGGGCACATAGCCAAGACAGGGCATCTTGCAGCTGGACACTAGAAATAGCCCGGACCGGGATAGGGCATCCTGGCTGCTGCAGCAACATGTTGCTAACTTGGTGGGGGGGACATAGGAGCAGTTTGGGTGGGAACAGGCAAACTGTGACCAGGCCTGGCTTGTGAATGACCCAAGATGAAGGCTGCCAAACGAAAATAGGGGTGACTATGCCAACAATAATATTAATATATTAATTAATAATATAATTATAAAATAAGTCTAAATTATCATTTAATTATTATTAGATAATATTAATAATCTTAAATAATTTGTTTCTACTTTTAATAGCTAATTGAGGCAATTTGTCCATAGCTCTTTTTTTCTTACTGCACATTCTGAAGCATTAAAGTTATGATTCTGTTTTGCCTTAAATTTTCTAATATGGTAACCCTTTTTACTTAAAACAATTGTTGTCAGCCTGGTTAACACAGGCACAGTGGCTCACACCTATAATCCTCGCTACTCAGAAGGCTAATATTGAGAGTATCCTGGTCCAAGGGCAGCCAAAGCAAAATGTTCACAAGACTCATCTCATTAAAGCTGGATGTTGTATCTAGTGCTTGTCATTCCAACTTCATGAGAAGTACAAATAGGAGGGTTGTGGTACAAGCTGGCTGGGGCCAAGAGTAACACCTTATTTGAAAAATATCAAATGTAAAGTGACTTAGGGGTATGGCTCTACTGGTAAAAGCCTGCTTGGCAAGCACAAGACCGTGGGTCAAACTTTACTACCATTAAAAAATAAGAAAAAAGAATATTGCATCAATTTTGTAGAAAAAAGTGTAACTTGTCTCTAATTTTCTGTGTGTATGTGTGTGTGCACACGCGCGTGTGTGTGTTCCCCTTTTGTCATTTTGTTTTTTATTTCTATACTTTTTGTCTTGTATGTAAGGTTTTTTTGGGGGGTTGGAGGAGGATAGGGAAAGCACAGAAAGATGGGACAAAGGATGAACTAATTCAGCAGGGATACTAGACACTATGTTGAAAATGAACTATACAACTTGTGGGGGAGGGGATTTGGAAGGGAAAATCTGGGAGAAAATGAGGGAAGCTGACACTGTCCAAAAAGAACTGTACCCATTACCTAACCTATATAACTGAAAGCCCTCTGCACATCACCTTTACCATAATAAATAAATAAATAAGTCGTTTCCGCACAGCAAAGGACATAGGTGCTAAACTAGAAAGACAGCCAATAGAATGGGAGAAGAACTCTACCAGCAATATATCCAACAGAGGCCTAATATCCAAAATATACAAGGAGCTCAAGATACTAACTCCTCCTAAAGCTAATAAACCACTCATTAAATGGGCAAGGAAGCTAAAGTGGACATCTCAGAAGAGGTAATAATGTCAAAGAAAAACATGAGTAAATGCTCATCATCCCTAGCCATAAAGGAAATGCAAAATTAAAAAAACTGAGATTACATTTCACTACAGTTAGATTGGCCAACATTGTGAATTCAAACATGAAATGTTGGCAGGGATGCAGGGGGCTGGGGGTGGGGGGGATGGGGAAAGGAACCCTATTACACTGTTGGTGGGAATGCAAACTAGTACAACCACTCTAGACAGCAGTCTAGAGGTTGGCTTCCAATCTTTGATGGAACTCTTAACAAAATGTAGTCAATGCCAGTGTCTTAGTTATTTCTCATTGTTGCGACAAAAATCTGAGATAAACAACTTATTTCTTGCACTGAAGGGAGCAGCATGGCCTCAAGTATAGCCCAGGGAAGACATGGTGCCCTTGCAATGCAACCAAAAGCATCCATTGTCCAAAGACCTTACTATTGTCATGGGAAGAATCCAACGAAACCTCTCCCACAGTCCTCTGTCTGGTATAAGCAGAAGACTAGGTGGGTGGAGTGTCAGAAGGAAGAAGTGCATGGTCCTAGAGTGGATATAGCAAGGAACATTCTCAACTGAGACTTGAGGGTAGGTCAGGTAAGCAAGATCTTGTCAATTGCCAAGGAATCACTTGAAACAGATGAGCAAAGTTGAGCTGGTTGCTATGAAATATGTCCTGGAGATGCAGCACTATTCTCATGAACTTTGGAAATCTAGAGGAGGGGGGGATTGTACATGTGCATGCGTGTGCGTGCGTGTACATGTGCGTGTGTGTGTGTGTGTGTGTGCAAGCACTGAAAATAAATTTAGTGGTCTTTCTTCCAGCTCTCCTAACCTGAGTTCAAGTCTAGAACCTGAACAAAAGAATAAGTAAAAGCAGCTCATGTAAATCAATCACAAGCCTATCATGTACATCACAACCCTATCCAGACTTTCTTTTTTAATCCCTGCTAAATTTCTTTTCCAGGCCTTCCATTAAAACCATAGAGAGGATCTCAAACAGCAGAAATTTATTTTTTCAAACTCTGGGAGCTAGAGGCCCATATCAAGGTATTAGCTAGCTGGGTTATTGATTAGGCCCCTATCTTTGACTTGCAGATGGTCACATCTTGTTGCCCCTTCTATGGCTTCTCCCTGGCAAAGGGTACCCTCAGATCTTCTGATTCTCCTACTCTCCTCATCTCATAAGTGCATCATTCAAATGGATTAGGAATGAAGTTAAGGGCCTCTTTTTAATTTAATGCCAGACTTCTCTACAATTCTAAATTCTATGGCTTAAATGACCTGTAATCAATCTCAATTGGCAAATGGTGCTTCAGTCAAGGATAGGTAGATAGAGAGATAGAGAGACAGACAGACAGAGGCATGATTCCCCCAGCATTCAGATGAGTAAAGATGTTTTAAGAGAGCAGATTCACTCAATTTGAACTACATTGTATTGTTATAGTAGCTCATTTGATTATGAATTATCATCCTTAATCTCCTACTCTGCCTAATTTGTAAACTAAAACTTACCACTGATATATGTAATATACATATATTATGTGCATATATATGAATAATATTCTGCCATAAAGACAAATGAAATTATGTCAGTTTCATGAAAGTGAGTGACCTGGAGATCATCCTGTTGAGCAACTTAAATGAACCTCAATGAGTAAAATATTGTGTTTTCCCCTCAGTTTTGGCATGTAGATTTAAAAGATATACATATGTTCATTTGTGTATATAAATATATATACAATTATGTATATACATCTATGTATATAGAACATATTATAATTGTGGGACTCTTTGTAGAATGAAGGAAAGAGCATGATGGGGTACGAATAATATCAGGTCATTCAGGTACTGGTGGTTCAGGCCCCTAATTCTAGCTATTCTGAAGGCTGAGATTCAGACAATCACAGTTGGGGACCAGCTTGTCAAAAAATGTCAACTAGACTGTGTTCCAAAATAACTAGCAAAAAGCTGAACTAGAAGCATGATTCAATGGGTAGAGAACCAGCTGATCAAACATGATGAGTAAGGCTGCAGCCCTGAGTTACCCCATTACCACAAAAATATTTTAAAAACCATAATTTATATGTATGAAGGCAGCATGAGGAAACTAAGTTAAAGTATTGAACAATAGAGAGGCAGAAGCTTCCAGGAAAGAAAAAGTAATACATGAGTTTAACATAACTAAGCTATAATATATGCACATATGCATTACCATAGTAAAGCCTTTGTGTCATTAATGTACACATAAAGAACCATGGGAAAGTAACATAGGCTATGTTGGGGACATGGGTACCAAAAGGAAATAAGAGGCCAATGAAAAAGTAAACAAATATAGTTGAAGCATTTCAGATGTTCATATGAAAATAAAACAAGCAAACCTGTTGAAATTGCTATAAGGAGAGTGAGGGAGGGAGGTAGAAGTGGCAAGTCTGATCTGTGTACATAGTATGTACTTATGCAAATATCACAAAAATTCTCTCATATAATTAATGTGTTCTAATAAAATAGTTTTAAAGATGGGTGCTGGTGGCTTATTCCTGTAATTCTAACTACTGCATAGGCTGAGATCTGAAGCCACCACAGGCAGTAAAGCCCATGAGATTCTTATTTCCGACTAACTGCCCCAAAAGTCGGGAGTTGAGCTGCAGCTCAAGGCTCAAGTGGTAGCGCAATAGTTTTCAGCAAAAAGAAAAAAAAAAGCCCAGGAACAGCTCCAA